GAGAACCTAGAAATGAACCCAACTCTCTACAATCAATTAATATTCAACAAAGGGGGCAGTAACATAAAATGGAGTAAAGATAGCCTCTTCAGCAAATGGTTTGGGAGAACTAGACAGCTACGTGCAAAAAAATGAATTGAGCAAACACACCATCACCAAAAAAACAAAAAGACAAAAGTGACACCATAAGTCCTAGAGGAGAACATTGAAAAATCTCAGATATTTCACACAGCAACATTTTTACTGATATGTTCCCTAGAGCAAGGAATATAAAAGAAAGAATAAACAAATGGGATCTCATCAAACTAAAAAGCTTCTGCGTGGCTGAAGAAAACAGTATTAAAATAAAAAGACAACCAACTGTATGGGAAAACATATTTGCCAATGATACCTCAGACAAAGGTTTAATCTCCAAAATATACAAAGAACTCAACATGACTGCACTCTAAGAAGACAACTAACCCAATTAAAAAATGGGAAAAGGACTTGAACAGACAATTCTCCAAGGAGGACACACAGAGGATCTAGAGACACATGAAAAGATGCTCAATATCGCTAGTCATCAGAGAGATGCAATTTAAAACCACAATGAGATACCACTTTACACTGGTCAGAATGGCTATCATAAACAAAGCAACAAACAACAAATGTTGGAGAGGTTGTGGAAAAAGGGGACCCTAGTTCACTGTTGGTAGGATTGCAGACTGGTACAACCATTATGGAAAACAATATGGAATTTTCTCGGAAAGATAAAAATCAACCTGCCTTTTGACCCAGCAATTCCACTGCTAGGATTATATCCTAAGAACCCTAAAGCACCAATCCCAAAGAACCTATACACCTCAACGTTCATAGCAGCACAATTTACAATAGCCAAGAGTTGGAAGCAACCTAGGTGTCCATCAGTAAATGAATGGATCAAAAAATTATGGTACATATACACAATGCAGTTCTATGCAGCAGAAAGAAAGAAGGAGCTCCTACCCTTTGCAACAGCATGGATGGAACTGGAAAGCATTATGCTGAGTGAAATAAGCCAGGTGTTGAAAGACAAATACCATATGATCTCACCTTTAACAGGAAGCTAAACAAAACAAACAAGCAAGCAAAATAAAAACAAAGACACTGAAATAGAGAACAGGGGGAAAGTGACCAGAGGGGAGAGGGGAGGGGATTTCAGGGGAAGTAGGGGAGGGATTTAGAGGAACAAGTATAAAGGACACAGGGACAACTAAGGGGGTTGGAAATGGGAGGGAGGTGGGGAGCATGAGGTAGGGTGGGCTGGGATGGGAGTAATAGACAGAAAACTGTACTTAAAAAATAATTAAATTTAAAAAAAGAAAAATATATATATATATAAGCAATGAAAAATTGTAAAGGAAAACAGACGAGTTTAACCTTTCAGACAAGATGGAAGTGGGATGGCTCCAGGTTTTCTTTCCAAAGCCACAAGGGCATCCTGTATCACTTAAAACAGTTCCCTAACCTGAGCAATTAGAAGGGGGCAGGTGGCAGGCAAGTTCGAAGCAATTGCAACACACCTTCGTAAAAGGTGTGGGGCCGCTACAATTCCAGGCAAAATGGAAACCGCCTCAGTCCGCAAGAACCAAGCCAAACCTCACGAGTCGTTCTTGCATTCTTGCCCCAACTCAACTAAGCTCATTTAAACAGGCCACCTTATTGTCTCAAACGAAACAGAGCTATTTTCTTCTATAACCTAAACGGGTTATAGAAGAAAGAAAGTCCCAGGCTGGTGACTTTCTTCCTTTTTCTCTTCGAGTGCCACGTTAAGAACTCCAGCCAATAATCTCTTTCTGAGTTTCCTCTTAAGTGAGTTGGGAGTATTGTTTCCTAAAAGTTTTTCCTGTGATTCCTATAAGATGTGAAAGGACTGAGCTCACTGAATTTTTCCAGTAATCATAAAACACCAATACCAAAAAATGCTCCCATTTCATCAAACGTGACAGCTTCTTCCTGGGCAGAGCTCAGCGAAACACTCCATGCACTTAAAAGGAAACGAGTCCCTCCTTGCAGTTGCCTGGGCTGAGATCACAAACAGGGCTCTGAGCCTTGCAGAAGCTTGTCATTCCAGAGAAACCGGTAATACTTCGATCAGCAAAACGGTGCCACTGATGAAGTTCAGGCATGCTGCTGCTTCTGCTGCGCCCAACGCTGAGCATCGAGGTAGCCTGGCAGACCCAGTGCCCGTTGAGAGCCTGAGCCAACACATGGAGCGAATTTCACCACCATCTCCTCTTTTACAAGGGGAAACATGTTTTCTTTTCTCGGCCAAAACTGAGTAAGGATTCCTCAGGTACCGCCTGACCCCTCACCTTGCCAACACCCTGCACTATTCCTTAGTGATATATTTACAGGAACATGCCACCGCTCTCCGGGGTTACAAGGGCGCCCCTCGGTGCCTCTGCTCCCTCCTCCCCCTGGCAATCACACTTGCTTTTCTCCAGACATCTGACACCCCTTTCCCTAAGTCTAAAGGGCCCTTTAGACCTGCCGGTGTCCGAATAGCAAGAGGTGCTCCAATGTAAAAAGGAAAGAAATCCCCTCTCGAATCTCCCTCTCCATCAGCTACAGGGCCTTTCTTCCCTCCCCTTCACAGCTTAACTTCTTCACCGAGTTGCTGCTGCCATCCCCTCAGCTCCCACTGGCACGAGCCCCCACCTTCCTGAAAACAGTTCTCAGGCAGGTGCACAATGACCGGGTGCTCAGTCCCCGCCAGGCTTGACCTCCCACACTGGGAGCAGAAAGGACCTGTTTTTTAAGGGGGGCTGCAAATAAAGAGGTGATGCCTCCACCTCTGTCCTGGGATTTCTAAGAGATGGAGGTCTGACCGCTCCTGGGAACCGCCTCCCCCACTCCCAGTCTTCTCCGGAGCTGGGCAGGTGACTGACCAAGGAAGGGTGCTGGGGGGTCTTTCAATTCTTCGCTCAGTGGGGAGTGCTGTAATGGGAGGGGTGATGAAGAAACCTCATCACAGAAGGGGGAACTGTCCTCTCTTCCCCAACTGGATAAGCAAGGGGCCTGTTATTTGCTCTGTGCCTACCAAACTGGGGAGGGGAAACTGCCAAGAGATGGCAGGGCAGAGAGAAGCCTTACTCCCTCACTGCTCGGTTCATAAAACATGGATTAAGGTCACTGGGTAGGACATCTTACCAGTACCCACAAAAATGGGCAAGGGAATCTCAGCACCAGTTTATTGGAGGCATGGTCCGCCCTGCCCCCAATATCTGGGACAGGACAGGAGCCCAGGAGAAGGAAAGGGAGGAGGAGTTCCAGAGCGGGACCGCCCTTCCCCCCACACAGGTGACACACCACAAGCCTGGTGGGTGGCAATGTCAGGGAAAGCTTTAAATCACAGTCTGTTTTTCTCATAGTGGTGTTCCCCAATCTACCCAACTGAGCGGCAGGTGGGAGGCTTAATAATTATTTGTTGAATAAATAATTTGTTGACTCAATAGCTTCATCTTTATTCTCACCCTCCCTGTCCTTTTTTGCCTCATTTCATTTATTCAGTCAATAATTCACTCCTCCATAAATGTTTGCTGAAAGTTGATATATACACTGTAATTATGGAAGGGTGGTTAAGTCATGTGCCCTGCCCTCAAGAACGTTACTAGAGAAAACAAGGAAAGCAGAAGCTTGCACCACAGCAGGGAGTGACGCGAAAGCCTCACGGCAGCAGTACGACGCACCAGAGACGTTGACTCGAAAACCCACACTGCTCCCTAAGAACAAACCCAGATGGCTTTTCCTGGTCTGCTTGGATATGGGATGCTCCTGCCTGCCTTTCCCAGGACTGCTGGCCCTCTATCCCGCCTGCTAAAATGCATTTACCCTCGATGTGCCAAGGTTAGTGGTTTACATCCTAGAGAAACATCCTAGAGAAAGCAGGACAATCCATCGTCCTTGGGTCTGGGGTGGGCCAAGGGACTTCCAATGCCCTGGATGAGGCCCTGGAGAAAGGACAAGGTGCCCATGGCCTTTCACGGAACACCGCCACGTGCAATCCAGCTCAGCGAAAATGCTGCAGGTTGGGACGAAGGGAATGCTGACTATGTCACGTCCCCCGAGAGCACCAAGAGCATTCTTCCCACAGGGAGATGGCCATGCACGTGGAGATCTAAACCACCTTTGCCAGGATCACATGTGATTGACAGGTAGCTTAATAGCAGACTCTCAGTCAGAATTAATTTGCGTCTGGAGCCAGGCGTTTGCAGAAAGCTCATCACTCTACATGATTTCGTGTTTGCTTATAGTCTTCAGTTTACAGCCCTTCGGCAACCATTATGGCTTCCCACGTATATTCTTGACAGGCACTTTCATGATAAATTTTCACCTTTGTTAGAATAATGCATGCTCAATATAAAAAACCTAGAAAATACAGTAAAGTTGGTAGCAGGAAAAAAATCTCATGCATATTCTTAACACCACTGTTAATATTCTGGTGTATTTCCATTGAACCTGTTTGATTTAATAGCTACTTGGAATTAATAAGCTTCATAAGCCAACTCTGATAAAAATCACCAATAAATTAGGATATAAACTGCCATCTGTAATCTCCTTCAATTACGAAGAGGCTGTATCTCTATGACTGTAAAACAAACAATAGACTCGGTTTAAAAAGCTAAAAGCAGCGAAGAGAAAATTGGTTGAACGTGTTGTTTAATACATGCAGGCAGGCCGCCACTCTGCTCTGCTTGTCTTTCCAGATGCCCCGCAGTTGGGGATTCAGCTTGTCCAAGCTCTTGGGTAACTATGGCTTGAGATACAAACCCCTTTAAACATAAATTTCTTTTGATTGTTTAGGAAGGATAATCTCGTGTGATTCTGGGAGGCACAAAAAAAGTTCTGGTGGTGTTTGCTCCACAGGTGTACAACCACCATTATTTACCAAGATATTGAACACGGGTTTTATTTTCATCTTTGTCCTTTCTAATAGACATGCTGTTCAAGGACATTGAAAATAAAAATTATTGGCTTACCTGATCAAGAAATCGTGAAGTCCAACGTCAAAATACCTGTTCAAGGAGACACAGACAAGCATATCAGTAGAAGGTATTTAAGGAAATAGCAGACCTGACAACAAAAATCTACAACTGACATTCAGAGCCTGGTGAACAAGTGGGTTACTCTACGGTAGCTGTTCTCAAAGGGCAGCCTCTGGGGCAGCAGCAGCAGCGCTACCTGGGGTCTGCTGGAAATGTCAATTCCCAGGCCCAGCCTCAGATGTGCTGAGTCAGAAATCCTGGGGACGGTTCCAGCAATGAGATTGAGCAGACTCTGCAGGTGGTTCGGATGCAGACCCGCTGCTCCACGATGGCAAAGCTGTTTCGGTCAGTCCATGCTCCCTCTAGAAATGAAGGACCTAAGGGTGGATTGCCCAGGTACCCTCCATTTTCCAACAGGCGAGTCCTTTTGTAACACTCGTCTCAGATGTTCATGTACTCGAAAGTAAATGAAATATATTTTAAAAGCGTAAAACTGCACTGGCCAAAGGGAAGCACAGGGTGGGGAAGGGCCAGCCCTGGTCCTCCCCACTCCTCCCGAAGTCCCTGCGGCTCTTCACCAGGAGAGCCACCTCGTCCCCACCTGGGTCTGCCCGAGCGGGGAGGGAGCAGAGCGGCTCCACACCCTCGCTGGCGTGTCTCCCATTGAGCGGGGGCCTCACACCAGGCATCCAGTAAGCCTGGGGCGGGGGTGCTTCCAGCCACAGCCTTCCCCGGACACCACTAAATTTACTGAGTCCATATAAAGAACACTACCCTGGCTTCCCTGGTTAACACACTTGTTCCCCCTGCACCTCCAACCACATAGTCCTTCCCTCCCTTTGGGTCCGGCTCCAAGCAAGAAGACTGAGTGGCCAGTTTCAGGACACTGCTGTCCACTGGCTATGTCACTGCTTCTAACGCCTGGATGGAGGTGGTTGTGCACCCCGCCCACGCCACCAGACTGGCCTCCTGAGTGATCTGCCTGCGCAAGGCCCAGGTTAATTCTGTCTCTACAGACGGTGAGCAATGGACACAGAAATTCGCCCGGAGTGGGGTCCGGCTGCCCAGGCCCAGACTCTCCTTAGCCGCCAGCTCCACCCCTACCTCTGTCTCAGGAGCGCCCAGCACCTCAGCTCGCCGTCTGACATACGGCAGATGATGACTGACATTAAAACACGATTCCTTGTGGGGTCTCTTTAAATGGCAATGTTCTTTTATGACTCAAACATCTATTTGTAAGTCATGGTTACAGGGTAGGTGAGAATAGAGAAACAACGCCAAACAGTACCATTTGAAACACTTATACACATTCGGTTCAGTGGCGTTAGGTGCATTTACACCGTGTGCAACCAGCACCACCGTCTCCAGAGCGGTTTCACCTTCCCCAGCTGGAACGTCCTCTCTACCGGGTAAAGACGGATTTGGCTCCTTCCAAAAGGTTCAAGGGTGGGGTCTCTTCTGTGGGGCTGTGTCTTTCATTTCAAGACATGAGCAAACCAATGAACTTTCTAGAAATATGTTCCCACTCGTTGGAAACAGACACTTGGAAAAGGCGTCTCAGGACAATGGACTAGGAATGGAATAAGCCCCTTTCTCTTTCTCTCTCTTTCTTTCTTCCTTTCTACATTATTATCTCTTTTAACCCTCACAACAAACCCTGCAAAATGGGTCCCCATTTAACAAAGCCACCTGTCCTTATGCCCAGCCACGTAGCTAGTAAATTGATGTATCAGGATCCAGCTGAGCGTACCAAATGCCCAAGTCTGTGCTCACTCCCTTCACGCATCCGGCCACTGACTCACTTAACCAATATTTACCACATGCTTACGATGTGCCAGACAGTGGAGAGTTGGCAATGCACAGCCCATGACCCCTAGCAAAGAGATGGCAGCGCCAACAATAATCTCAATACAGTATGGTCAATATCAAACATTTTCTCCCATCATAAATGGCAAACTCCTTGAGGGCACCAGGCCGAGTCTCAGGAAGTATCTGCTGAGTGGATCCACCTGTGAATGATATGCTGCCATGGCACACGTCTCACGGTGCAGACTGAACACGCTCAAAAGTAGTTATTTAACACACAAACTATTGTATGTAAATACACGAGATAAATATCCACAGATGGAAATGTGGCTTCTCTTTGGAAATAACATACCTCTCAAACTGCAGCACAATTATTCTCATCACTTTCTGAGAGAACAATCTCTCACGGCTTCCAGCCCACAAGGTAAACCAGGATTTCCTTACAAGGACACAGTGATCTTGTGTGTGTCACTCTGGGTTCCTTTGAGAAATCAAAACCAAAAAACCTTTTTATGTGCATGTGACATGAAAGTTTTGTCGTCTGAACACCCACTGATGGCAGCGACTCGGAGTGGCTTTCAGCTCGACAGACGTATAAAAAGGAACCTGCTCGCCTACCTGGCAAGGCCCTACCTGACGGGACAGTTAACTTCCCATGACACGAGGAGTTTGAGCCTAGTGAAAGGGTGTTAGAGGTGGCGGAGCCATCAGAGAGGAAAGCGGAATGGGTGACAGTAAAGGTTCCAGCTAGCCTCGGGCTTCCTGCTTCGGTCCCTTTCAGGAAACATCTCTAGGAGTGGATTCTAACTCCCGAAGCAGCCGCTCTCGTCTGACAGCCACCAGCCAGCTGGTGGACGTGCCTGGGCTGGTGCGGCCTTGAGGATTTCTTCATCCAACGCTGACCGCTGTTTCTGTGAAAGCCTCCCTGGGCATCAAAATCAGGCTCCTGGTGCCTGACACGATGGGGCTGTGCGTGTGTCTATTCACAGAGCACAGAGACTGCGTGTCCTCGAGTTTAGCACGTCTGTGACAGAGGAGGAGTCTGGCCCACACAGCATGTCCGTGGCAGAACTCAGGCCGGAACCCACAGCAGGTTCCAGGACTTGTTCTGCTCTTCCAGGCTGCCTGTCTTTCGGGGTCCTGGTCCTCCCACCTCGGCCCCCCCAGGGCTGATTTGGCTCTTTGGGTTACAAAAGGCAATGAACTGAGGCCAGAAGTTGCACAAGCCACACAACCAGCGAGCTAAGTTTTCAAACCACAGTTGCGAGGCTGGGCAGAGTTTACATGAAGTATCACACTCAGATCTCAGTCCTTGCCTCTACTTCTCCAATTTATACCCTCCACAGGTTTTCATCTCCAGGTGGTTTACCCATCAGTGGCTGCCACACTTTCACATTCCTTCCCAGGGAGTTTGAAAACTGGCTTAGAGAGTTGGAAGTAAAAACCAAGTCAGATCACTATGAGAATAGAGCGTGCACCCAGACTCAGGAAGCCCTCGTTAGTGCCACCTGGGCCACCTAACTTAGTTTTGGAGGGTGGTAAAGATCTTAAGGTGTGTCTGCTCTAACCTCCTTACTTGAAAGATTAGAAAATAGATAAAGAAGATACAATAATTGAAAATACAAACACATAATAGCAGCACAGTTAAGGCTCACAGACCAGGTGCCCCAGACCCGTCTTTATTCAAAGTGTCACAACGCTGCCCTCCTCTCAGGAAAGTATCTGTTTTTATTTTCTGAGAATGTCTTTATTTTCTGGGAATGCTCCAGACAAACTCCTTGGAACAGGCTTTCTGATGACATCATATACCAACTGGCCTCCTGTCACACCAACTCCATCTCCGTCCGTCAATGTCACGTGGATACAGAGTCTGCAGGACGCCGCTCCCTCACTTTGTTACATTCCTCCCACAGTCCGGTTGTGGACGGATCTAACCTGCCTATCTGTTTGAGAGTTGGAGCCTGCACAGTCAAGGATGAAAGCAATGCCGGGAAAACAGGGAAGAGGGAAAGTGAACTTAGGTCAGTAAGACCCCAGCTGGCAGCCCAATCCCATCTGGTGAAATACCAAAGTCTGATGGGAATGTGGAAATTGAGGATCGCAGCCCGGGGAGGACCAAGTCTGTGAAGAGCAAACGTGGTGAAAATGCTGTTGGCCTTTCCCAGGGTGTGCTCCTCCGGGCACCAGGCAAGTGGGTCTGGCATTAGAGTATCAGGGAGCAGGTTCTGGCAAATGGACCAAAAGCCTAGTGACCTGGACACCTTACAGTGTTAGAGGAAGAGAGACAGGTGCCAGAGCCAGGAATAAATGGCTCAGGAGTGAAAAGCTTTCCCAAACTACAGCAGAAAACACATCTCCCTGGATGTGGGGATAGAGACTCAAGGTCTCAGCTTGTGTTCTCCCACTTAACAGTATTTGTCCTTGGGCCAAAAAATCATTCCTCCGTGCCTTGGTTTTCATAATTGTGAAAAAATGAACAAATGTAATGTGTACTTCATAAACATTCCACAAATGGCCAGTAATTTTCTCTCCTCCTTAGACTTTACTGAGTTCCTGAAGCTTCATCCCCAAACTGCATTAATGCTGTGCTCATTCATTTGTCCAACATATATTTATTTATTAAGCACCTTTTAGATGTTGATACAGCAACAGATGCTCAGGGGATACAATGGTGAACAAGAGAACTAAGTTCCTACCTTTGGTATATTCTGGAAACAAGGCCTTTATCAGACATATAATTTGAAAATAGTTTCTATCCATACACAGCCTGTCTTCGCATTTTCTTAAACATGTTGTTTTAAGCACAAAGTGTTCAACTTTTCAAATCCAACTTAATTTTTCTATCATGCATTTAGTGCCATATCTAAGACATCTTTGCCTAATCCATGGTCTTAAAATTTTTTTCTCATGTATTTTCTTCTAAAAGTTTTATGTTTAGCTCCTATATTTAAGTCTGTAATCTATTTTAAGTTAATTTTTATGCACATTGTGAGGTAAAGGTCTAAACTCATCTTGCAATCATTGTGTAAAAATATCAACTAAACATATTTGCCAACACAGAGGTCACTGACAGATTGAACAAGTGCAGTCTCATTGGCTGGTGGAAATGAAACCAGACTAGAGCCAAGTGAAGAGAAAGTGTGAGCCCTGGCCGTTGGCTCAGTAGGTTGGAGCATCATCCTGTGCACCAAAAGGTTGTGGGTTTGATCCCCGGTCAGGTCACA